TCATGCCAAACTTAATTAAAAAAAAAAACAACAGGAGTGTCTATATTAATAACAGGTAAGCTACACTGCAGAGCAAAGAAAACCACCAGAGACAGAGGAAGGCATTATATAATGATAAAAGGGTTGATTTTCCAAGAAGATGTAACAATCTTAAATGTGTATGTACCAAAAAACAGAGCTTGAAAATATGTAGAACAAAAACTGGTAGAACTGAAACCAGAAGTAGACAAGTCAGTAATTAGAGATGGAGATTTTAACCTTTCCCAACAGTTCACAGAACAACTAGACAGATAATCAGTAAGGATATAGAAAAAATCAAGCAGAGAAAGACAATCATCATATGGTTTCACTCATATGAGGAACATAAGGAATAGCACGAAAGACCACAGGGGAAGGGAGGGAAAACTGAATGGGAAGAAATTAGAGAGGGAGAGTAACCATGAGAGAGTCTGGACTCTGGGAACCAAACTGAGGATTACAGAGGGGAGAGGGGTGGAGGGATGGGGTAATCGGGTGATGGATATTAAGGAGGGCATATGTGGTGATGAGCACTGGGTGTTGCACGCAACTAATGAATCATTGAACACTACATCAAAAACTAATGATGTACTATATGTTGGCTAACTGAACATAATAAAAAAAAAAGAGGAAAAAAAATCAACACCACAATCAACCATGGAGAGGCTAGTTGGATACTGTTGAAGGAGCCCAGTACCAGGGTATAAAGAACCACCTTGGAGAAGAACACAAGTTTGGAAAATGCCTCCAGTTTGGAAATCGGTCACTCTGTCAATCAATCAGCCTGTGCCCTCAGAATGAGTCCTATCTCTCTGCATCATTGTCTGTAGACCTAGTGTGTTTGGGGCCTGAAGAGGTCAGAGAGCCCCACGGTCAAGGATCCTGAGACTCATTCAGTCTTCCCTCCACTCTTGTAGCCAGTGGCACTGAGGCTGCTCTCCACCCCTGGGGTCTTTGTCTTAGGCATTGACAGTGCCTAGTATCAGTGACCAGACCCTCAAGCCTCACTTCCCAGCAATGTGCTTGCATGCTCCTCAGAGCACTGGTCCAAGCTTCTAAAATGGATATGTTAAGACAATCATAATTAGCATATAAAATTTAAAGTTACATTTGCATGAATGGTGTTACCTCTAAAAATATGTAGACCAGATTTTAAACAAGGACAGAATACACAGCATCTCTAGGACTCATTTAGAATAAGTGACCCTCTGACAAACTAGACAAATCTAGAAGCAGCAATATGGACTCTTAGCTTTCTAATTTCTTGCCTAATCAACGATCACTGAAAAGTTAATAGCTCAGCATTAGGAACCTTTTAGTGTAGAGGTTGGTAAACTATGGACCCATGGTCCAAATCTGGACTGCCACCTGTTATTGTAAGTGAAGTTTTATTGGAACCTAGAAGGCAGGATCAGAACCATCTGGGAACTTGTTAGAAATGAAATTCTCATTCTTCAGACCTGTTGACTCAGAAACTCTGGGGGTACACTCAACAATGTGTGTTTAAACAAGGCTTTTAGAAAAGTTTGAGAACCACTGGATTATACTGTCCTTCCATGTCCACTGGCTAATACTGTGATAAGGAATTTTGGATGCAGTTCAGCCAACATCACTTGATGCTGTGGCCATGCACCTGATTCCTTGCTGTGCCTGAAAGTACATGGGCTTTGGCCTCCCAGGGAAGCAGGCATGTGACTGCTAACCGCAGCATGGCATGTGGAGTTTTCTAGAGATGCATGAGCTCTGCAAGCCTGGAACAAGGAGGGCAGAATTAGCAGAGGTGATAGATTTTACTTTTGACGTCTGTTTTTTCTGGAGGGAGGGTATAAAGTCACACTTGAGACACAGGCTTCAGGAAGCAGGGAGAACAAGCACCATCCCCAGGTTGCAGTGGCAAGCCTGGAACCCCAGCTAGGAGCTAGAGGAGAGTCCACAGTGGTGTGCCAAGCAGGCAGAATCACCGCAGCACAGGCAGCAGCGAACAGCTCAGAGAAGGACAAGACTGGTCTGAAGGGAACAGAAAAGAGTTGCTTTTCTTGTTTTCTTTTTTTCCTGGGTGTGATGGGCTGCAGGATTTGATGAGATGCTTTAGGGTCTGGAACCTAACTGGAGTCCAGCTAGAAAAGAAGCAGAGAGCAGCAGTACTTGAGTTATTCTTGTGCTTTTTAAAAATCAAATTTACCCCCCTAGATGAGAAATGTTATCAGGCTCCAGTGAGGCAACAGCCAGGAGTTGAGGGTAACAGGAACTGCTAGAATAGTCCATTATTTAGGTGTATTTGAAGGCTCCATCACTTAGACTGTAGATAGATACAATCTGAAAATTGCCCCACCAAAGAAGTGGGCAGAGCAGATAGAAACTACCTCTCTTCAACACCAAAGTATTAAAATTAACAAAAGTCATTTTGAAAAAGCCAAGAACCAAGTGGCAGGGACACCTCTGTGATGGAGCATGAACCCAGAGACCACGAGGTCTCTGTCCAGAGACAGGGTCTGAGTGAGAACATGTTCAATACAAGTGCGGAGGGTCCAGGGCAATGGCTGAACAAGGTCATTGTCAGGAGGTTATTCTGTGTTTATGTGGTTAAAGGGCCAGAGACAGGATGAGATTTCTGTGTTACCCCAAATGTGGATAATAAAAATATGCAGGGAATAAAAAGGAGTTGACCTTTAAAAAAGAAAGGAAAGAAAGAGAGAGAGAGAGAGAAAGAAAGAAAGAAAGAAAGGAAGGAAAGAAAGAAAGAAAGAAAGAAGGAAGGAAAGAAGAAAGAAAGAAAGAAAAAGAAAGAAAGAAAGAAAGAAAGAAGGAAACAAGAAAGAAAGAAAGAAAAAGAAAGAAAGAAAGAAAAAGAAAGAAAGAAGGAAAGAGGAAAGAAAGAAAGAAAGAAAGAAGGAAAGAAGAAAGAAAGAAAGAAAAAGAAAGAAGGAAAGAGGAAAGAAAGAAAAAGAAAGAAAGAAGAAAGAAAGAAAGAAAGAAGGAAAAAAGAAAGAAAAAGAAAGAAAGAAGGAAAGAGGAAAGAAAGAAAGAAAGAAAGAAGGAAAGAAGAAAGAAAGAAAGAAAAAGAAAGAAAGAAGGA